TCACTTGAGCCAGCCATTTTAGATCATTATCACCTGATCTCCAATTTCCCCAGTTTTAGGGAAGGTTGTACCAAAGGTCCTGGGATGGGGCTAGAATCATAAAGGACATTTAGCCCAATATCCTTCTCAGTGCAGGGCCATCCATCTTCTCCTTGAAGCTGTCCAGCAAGGGGCCACCCTTACTACAGAGGGCTCTGGATGAAGCAGAGCATCTGCAAATCTTCTGGTTGGGTTCAGGTCTGGGCAAGGGATAAAAGCTACATTGGTTGCTCTTATGGGTGACCTCAACCGAATTGGATAGTGGGGGAACACCCTCTACTTATCTTTGGCCGCCTTTTTGACAATCTACAAGAGGCAGCTTTCAATGTTTCTGCAGCTTCCAAATAGTGTGGCTCCAAACAGGGACGTGTTACTCAAGGTGGAATCTGCCCATTAGATGCAAGCCGAGAGAAAAGCTCTGGGTTCACATCACTGGATAGGATAGGGGGCACCCTGAAGGTAGGCTTCTTGGTTACACCTTGCCAACCCAGGTCAAGATGAGTGCCATATATGTTTTAAGACTGTAACCTGCCTAGAATGTATGCAGTAGGTGACATATGCAGACTTATAGAAATCAAATAATAAACTGCTGTGCTTTGGGTAGCATGATATCTTTGTGAATGTACTATCTAGTTTAACTTGAAAATAAAAAATACTGTTCCCTTCAAACTTCATTTTCCATAAATATTAGTTTAATTCTCTAATTTTAATTCTAGATCGGATATAATCCATCATAATTGACATGAACAACATTGTGAGAGAAGATCTTTACAAAGCATTGAATGAACTCCTTGAGAAGCAATTTGAAGATTTTAAGTGGTGGCTAAAATGTATTGACTATGATGGGAAGCCAAACATTCCTCCAGTGTCATTGGAGAAAGCTAATCAACAAGAAGTTGTAGATCTCATGATTCAATATTATGAAGAAGATGCTCTAAAGGTGTGCATTTGTGTTCCTCGAAAAAGTAATATAAACGATGTTGCTAAAAAACTTGAAGAAACTCTACCGAAAGGTAAGAAAACGCAACATGTTCTCTCTCCACTTAAGGTCAACTGGAAATAAAGACCCATTGTGATTTGGGAAGCTGTCTTCCACTGTATCTTGTTCAACTGACTCATTGTTGTTGACTAGGGTTGGCAGTGGCTCCCTGGGATTTCAGAGTGGGGCTTCCCTTATATCTGAGATTCCATGTCTGGAGCCTGAAATCAAACATAAGGGAAGCATCTGCTCTCTCACTCGGCCTGGCATTTTCCTCTCACTGTCGAAGTAAAATTACAAGCCAAGGTCAAGCAAAACAAGCTAGCCCATTGATCTAAATTTAAGGGAGTTCCTTAAAAGTTGAATTTAGTCCATCCTTTTTTCTAGCATGCTTCCTGACATGATAACTATATTAAGATATCTTACAGGTGGTGATTCCATTGTTGCTACTAGGGAAGATAGCAGAGCATGTAATGCTGGGTGGAGCCAGAGAAAAAAGAAGGGAAGCATTTTCTTGCAGGAGCCTGAGTTAGAAAGAAATTTAGAGCAGACATTAGGAAGGGCAAATCCCAAATATCTGTAACCCCTGTGTACATTTCTGTACTAGGGAGCCAAGAAGTGTCCCAGAACCAGTCCTAATCCCAAGAAGAAATGAGATTTGTGTCTCATTGCAACCTGTGTGGCTGCTTTAGTTTGCCCCACATTCTGTTGGCGGGCATCAGACTGGTCTATGTAGAAACAAGAGCATTCCTGAAGGAGGGCACAACCTGCCCATTCCTTGAAGAGCTGTCCAAAGCTTTGGGGACTGCAATTTCAACAAACTACCTCTCTGTCTTTTCCCTTTTTCCTTTATTGTCAAGCTTGAGTTGCCTTACACCTGTGCCAAGCAACTGGCCTTGGCTGCTCTCTCAGCTGTGACTTGTGGGTTGACTCTTCTTAGCCACCCTTTACCTACCTTAGGTTTCATTGGTGTTTTAGTATTTTTGGCCAAGTTCTGGTTCCTGCTCTCCCAGACTTCAGAAGAGTCTTCAGCATCTCATAGACTTTCAGTGTTTGGATGGGTGGGGAAAGCTTCATTACCAGCTGCCAGATGGCTGTTGGTTATTGGTGTTTCTCTGCTTCACTCAGATTTCAGCTGCTCATCTAAATTCCTCAGCTCATTCTCCCACACTGTCCATCACTCACTGCACACTACACAAGCCAATTTGTCCTGGCATTTGAACCAGTTAGCCTGGAGGAAGGGGCTCAAGTCCTTGGGAGCTTGAATCCTGCCCTCTTTTAGATCCATGTCCCTCCTGGCTGGTTAAGGCCTCCCAGGAGACCACATGTAGCTGAATCCAAGACATGGTGAATGCTTCCTGATCGGAGGGGATGATTTCACCTGCTTGAAAGGAAGTGACAATTCAGCCTCTCCTTAAGAGCCATCACTGGATCCAATTCTTGTTCGATCTGCAAACTTCCCTTTTTAGGGAAGGTTCTTGAGAAGGTGGTAGACTTGTAGCTTTGAGCAGCACTGGAGTAAACTTTCCAGTCATGTTTCAGGTTGGGATATAGCACTGAGTGTGATGGAAGGTATCTACAAGGAGGAGACTGGTATGGGAGATCAAGGCTATCAGGAAGGAGGGAGTGCATTCCAGGAGACGGAAGGAGGCAAAAGGCTTCTCAGTCTGCAAGAGGACCGTGGGAAGAGCAAGAGATTTAGAGTAGCCCCTCCCTAGAATCCCCCAGGGTATATCCACTAGTTGCTGTAGTATAGATTTAGTCTGGCAAGATTCTGTCTATAAGGTGTAAGCAAATAAAGGAACTGTACTCGACTGAACTGTTTCACCATTGTTCTTGGGCTGGGCCTGACACTGAGATGGTTGAAGGGCATTATTTTGATACACAATTTTATATTCTATATATACACAATTTTATATTT